TGCACGTTATGTAAGTGCCCAGTTCATGAAGTTGAGCTAGAGTTGACATAAGTCCCATAGGATTACTTTACAACAACATTCGCTCAAGTCCATGACGACTGTTTGGCTTCTTCCCGTCGTGACCCTCGTTGTCGGATCTTCTTCTGGAGGCGTACTTGTGCCAGCGCTTCAGGTCTATTCTCCCTCGTATGCGTTGCTAACAGCGACATTCTCCGCGTGTATGGTTACAATAGGTCTTACCCTTTCCCTTATGCTACTCACGATATACATCCTTCGGCTGGTCGTATACGGTTACCCCACGGGTGCATCAATTCTGTCAGTCTTTCTCCCCGTCGGTCCTTGTGGACAGGCAGCATATTCACTTTTAAAGTTGGGGTCTTCTTTTCGTTCACTATTACCTCTAAATTATGGTGATGCCGGCGGATTATTGAGGCAATCTGGAACCGGAGAAGCAGTGGAGGTGATATGTGTGGTTGGTGCTATGGTTCTGTGGTCACTGGCGAGTATGTGGATACTCTTTGCAATGCTCGGTCTCGCCTACACCCTCCGTCGGGAACGCATTGAGTTCCGATTGTCATTCTGGGGAACTGTATTTCCTAACGTGCGTATCTACGGTTTTTTAATGGCCCAGGACGCGCTCAATCCCACTTTTCACAGGGAGTGTACGCAAATCTCAACTTGGCCTTGGCGACAACGTTTTCGTCGACGTTCTTTCGTGTGTGGGGTTCGATATATTCGGTGGGGACCCTGATATTGTGGGTGTGTATTGCCTTACCTACAATACGGATGGTGCCAAGCGGTCGTATATTTGACGCTCCGTGTCTGGAAGAGGTCATAATGGGAGCACCAACGAGGGATGCGGAGAGAAGTGCAGACGATTTGAAAAATTGAACAAGATATCGGAGAGATTTACGTACGTTCAAACCTCCTTACATGCAATTTCTGAGGCGAGGCATCTCGCAGGTCCACCTGTCCTCTAGTAACGAAATACTTCCACAAGGCTGCAAAATGGGCCTTCCATGTCCCCATCAATCTCTGGTGTGTACAAAGTCTTGTAAACAGATTTCTCTTTCATTTATTCTATAAACTACCTCCACTTCATACTAAGTTGATTATTCCGATTCACCCATTGTTAGCGACTGATAAGTGAAGCCCAAGCCAGAGCATTCAGCAGAATGTCGCGAGGCGGACTACGTTCTTAGCACCTGCTGCAGTCACCCGTCTCCTAGGATTAGCTAGGGCAACAGGAACGCTAGGATGGCGGGGATGGCAGCGGTTTCGAACATGCGAAAGTCCTCGTCAGGGGACTACCGCTACCCCAACCGCGTCGACCTTCTCTTTCTGTTCAGGAATAATAATACTGAGCCTATAAACCTAGTGGGAGTACAGGTTCCGTCGCACGACTACAACCGCGTCCAATGATTGGCCAATCGCATCCAGCAACCATGACCCACGCAGGGTAGTTTACGGTTGGGGAGGGCTAGGAAGCTTCAGACCTCAAGCCTTCCCTTGAGACCCTAAACCCACTCACCGAGTCACCCCTTTCGGTATTTTATGAACCGAAAAGGGATTTGGCGTCTTCATGCAGAGGCGATGCTGGATCCCACAGTTGTGTGCCGATGGAGAGTGTGAGGACCGCAGTATTGAAGATGTTTCACAAGGTGATTCAATAATTTCCCACTAACGGCCGCATGTTTCATTGGTCCACAATTCATTGCCTAGAAGAATACACGCCATATAGACTTGAAATAGACTCACAGCATGTAGGTAACGGACCTCCGCATAAACTATGCTGTCAACTTGTTATGGAAAGTCAAAGGAATGGCGGAGCCGTGTCAGCGAGGCTCAGCGCTCATGACCAGTTTGGTGCAGTTTTTGTGGCGTATATCAAATTGACGTATAGTTTGGTTACGATTCTGGTTAATGATGTCAACCCCAGCGTCACGTCTGGTGTGGTTTAGAGTAGGACAGCGCTATGCTGTGACACCTCATCGGATCTCTGCTACGTAGTCGTACTGCAGTCATTGGTGCCGGTGAGTACCCGCAAATTGTTCGTTTGGTCATATAATTTGACCAGAGGTTTCTTCGACAAAACGCAGGTTGTACTCTCGCTGGGAGTAGAGAATTGAGGTGTGCTTGTTCTTTCCTGTTTCAATTGGAGGTTTTCTGTCCACAACCCATGGCAAATGCTTATGGGCACTTGTCAAACAGAAAACTCTAACCCCGAAATATTCACATTCCTCGGCATCATTTGAACTGTACAGCTGGCTTTGAGCTGGCGCGAACTGGAATTCACTGATGATGCGAGCCCAAGATGACATATATATGTTGTTGGAAATGGGGGACTGTGGGTCATAGGTTGCAGACATACGACTCCTCTTCTTTGAGTGCAGATATCTTGTCTGTTTTCAGTGCCCGATTAGCCTCGCTGATATGCTGGGGGGACCTCCACGTAAATCGTGGAGAGAATGTATACGGTACGCGCGACACTATGTCCATGGTAGCCTCCTGATCGATGTGCAACAGGACTTTTACTTGGGCCTGGCATACAGTGATTATGGGCACTGGGGGTACATCTGCCTTGGTTCACGCATTTCCGTACGGGAACGGTAGTCCGGCGATCAAGGTCGTCACTTTGATGGTTTTTTATCTTAATCTCCTGCTCTTTGTCTTGTTTACTGGGGCGACTGTCGCGAGATACATACTGTTCCCTGACACCTGGCTCAAGATGATCCGACATCCGACTCAGGGCCCACTCATGGGCGCATTTCCAGCGGGAGCTACGACATTGATCAATATAGCATTGGTAAGCTTGCTGTTGTTCGTTTATGTTTACTGTCTAGATGGTTCCTTATTTATAGGTAGCCCATCAAGAATGGAACTTTGGAGGCACTGGTTTTCTATATACGCTCTGGGGTTGCTGGTGGCTCGACTCCATTGTGTCGTACCTCATCGCTTTTGGAATGCTGCATGCGATGTAAGTACAGAAGTTCGAATCTTAATGGCGTATCATTGATGGTGTGGCTGACAGGATGGTGGAGCAGAAACACGCCCTTGATACCATGACTGCTTTATGGCTACTCCCAGCTATCAGTCTTATCGTTGCATCTTCAACCGGCGGTTTACTCTCAATTGCGCTAAAAGCTCAGTCGATGGAGTTGGCCATCTCAACAGCGCTGTTCTCGTTGACTATGGTTATCATTGGTCTCAGTCTCGCGTTGATGATGATCACGGTATACCTCGCACGCCTTGTCATAAGCGGTCCGCCAGATAAGCTGCTTGTTTTGTCTTCTTTCGTCGCATTGGGTCCCTTCGGTCAGGGAGGATACTCGCTACTTATTAATGGCCAGAACCTGTCCGAAATCCTTCCGCTGTACGTCTCGGGTACTTTCCCAGAGGCTGGAGGACAGATAATATTCTCGTTCTGTTTCTGTGGAGCTTACATCCTATGGTCGATGGGCATCTGTTGGATCATCATTTCCTCCAACTCTATATTAAGTGTGCTCAAAAAGGAGGGGGCTATACCCTTTTCCATCACGTATCAAGGGTTGATTTTCCCGAATGCTGTATTTGCCCTTCTCTCGGTACAGCTTGGGAACGTTCTGAACAGCGACATTTTCCATGGATTTGGCGCAGCGTGGACAGGTCAGAATATCCGTCACCATTCTTTTCTAGATCTACTTACCATCTCTGATAGTCATTGTCTTTATTCTGTGGCTCAGCATCTTTGCGAGAACCAGCCTGGCAGTCATCGACAGGTCCATATTTGTAGCCCCGGATATCGCAGTTCCACTCTTGCCACTTGAGTTTACCGACAGCATAAAACCTGCGAGAACCAGCCATACTATTTCCATACACCAGAGTAGCTTTAAGTAGTCCCCTTTCGAATCGGGCACGCATAGTACATCCAAAGTTGCGAGTATAGTTACTTAGTATATGCGCACATGGTAGAATTCTCTTGTTATTCCCTTCCTGTGACCTTGACACTGAGAATCAAAAATCACCTGGTTCAGTGTCTAGCTATCCCTGACGGTCACTTAGCCTTAGTAGGAGGAGGGTTTTGTCAGATGAAATCAGTGCGAGATAACTTCGAGTGAAGTTTTATCGACCAGATATGCTAGTACTGGTGATATAAAATATAAGCGACATTAGGCAGGTTTACTAGCCAATGAGGTCGCATGGCAGACCATTCACAATGTTTCGGCGCTGATTAGTTCAGCGATTAGCTGACAACTTGACATACCTTGAAAGCTTGAACTTGACAAGTTCAGAATTGAGCACACCGCTTATTGAATAATTGGTTCACGTCTTGAAATAATAATATTTCTTCCACCAATCGCGTTGCTCCATCACGTGCCAGAGCCGTAAGCTCACCGTAAGCATCAAACTTTTTTTGACAAGCGAGTCTCATATGACATCTCTTTGCCCATGGCACCCATGGGTGCCTTTTTGGCATTTGCGATTAACGAGTGACGATGTACATACTAGCGCTGGTATGCATACGCAGTCCTCGCATCTAAGTTTGTTTTATGTCGCTTTCCTGGCCAATTCTTCGCACTGCTTAAGTTGAAATTAATTGTGAGTGTCCTATTCGCTTTCGAACCCTCCGTAATAATTCAGGTGAAAACTCTGCACGAGTCTAATTAAAAGTTTCTATAGCTGGAACTCTGCCGCAACACAGGAAATAGTAAATTACCGTGCACAACTGGCACCGCTGGTGCTTTGCTCCCATGAACCCTGACAACACGTACGTCTTGAAGTACGGCAAAACACCTGTGTCCAGTGCTCCACCATGGCTACGGAAGATTCTTCCTCAATTTGGTCTGCTTCAAGGGTATAGGATGGATATAGCTCCACAACCCGCCGACGACAGCGTTGTGCGAATAACTGACCGGGTGATGATATTCACTGCTTGGTTTCGAAACATTTTGCAGCGGCGATGAATTGGCAAGTTTCAGATCCTCTTTCCCGACGAGGTGTCCATATCCGTTCTTTCTCAGTGTGCATAGCCTTTCTTCTCAGTGTTCATAAGCGAACAAGTCTTATCAGGGTCTAATTTTACAGTGACAGTAACGGCAGGTGACGCTAATCTGAATCTCACCTCAAAAAACGTGCTCAGAAATGATACTATCTTTTTTCCCTGTCTCTTAGTGTCCCTTCCTTACTCTCTAACGCGTCGATCGCGATGCCGCCGTTTCCTCTCGGAGTAACGTATGGAGTTTATTTCCTCTCAACGGTTCTCTGTGCTATACTCTGGGGAGTGTCTTGCGTGCAAACGTGAGCAATCACGTATATACTCAATTGCATCCTCACCATTTTCTAGCTTTTCTTATTATACTCGGTTTGTAAAACTCTGCCAGTGGTGCAAGTGCTTGCTTGACCCAATTTATAGTTATATCAGAGATGATCGATGGCTAAAAACTACGGTGAATCTCTTTTTGTCGTCTCTGTTCCGTGAACGTTCCTGAGCTTACCGAAGGTCGCTATCATATTGTCTGTCACCTGCACGTCTTTCAACGTCTCCTGCTAATATTGTTGTGGTTTGTGGTTCAGTATGATGAACGCTGCACAGACAATGCTGATAATGCACGGAGGTAAGCAAGATATTTGTCTCTGATCCGACAATCTCCAGACATCAAGTGCAGCGTACGCTTACCTAGTCATTCACTTTGGAGATTTTTCATTTTTTGAGATGGCCCTTCCGTAAGTGTCCTGCATGTCATGCTACTTTTCTGTATGAGATTAATATTGTTATAGGGTGTCCTCAGTGAGTCGTCTAGCATTACGATCATATATTGCGCTAATGCAGCACAGACTGGATTTCTTCTCTCGGTAAGATCACAATATGAACCTTTCGTCGCGTGTGCTCATTCCTGAGATAACTAGGCCCTTGTTTCTGTTTGTGTGCAAGGAATATTTGTCGTCAAAGCACAAAGACGTAGGTCTACGCGGTTTGTAGACTGACATCTTAACTAACGTCTTGGTGAAGTCAGCGAAACGAGATCAAGGGTGCTCCCCTCGCTCTGGGTCAGGATCAGTTTAGCTGTGTACTAAAGTCTACACTTAAGATGGCTCTCCAAATAGATCCCTTTAGCTCTTTTTGAACTGGGGGCTGCAATTTGTACGTTTGTGGTTCCCCGGTGTTTTTGTGACTAAACGTCATTCATAGATTGTGTCGCTGAGAGGTGAGCGTTTCACTCGAGCATCAGATCTACTGTCGCGAACGCGTCATAGTTTTCAAAGTGGGAAGAATGTTTTCTTCACCGCATCGCTGAAGGTGACAACAAAGTCTGTCCCATTTTATGCAACCTTACATTCATTGAAAGGCAATCGTGGTTTCTTATCTTGCCGTCATGGCCTTTGTTAATATTGCGACTGCATTTTTTTTGGCCAAATATTTGCGCATATTGCACAGACAAGCCATGACGTTTGCGTGAGTTCTCTTCTGGAAGAAGCCTGACTCTTGCTGAACACCTTGTTCTTGTGAACAGATTGAGCGACATGATCTATCGCTTGATCGTTTTCTCAGTGTTGAGTGGAATTTGGACCACTTTATTCGCTATTCTCGACATGGTTACAGTGAGTCATCATGACAATTCGGATATTTCTTGTGCTCATGTCGCTTTTCAGTATCTTGGCTTTCCAAATACTGCGGTGTACGTCTTGTTCGACTTACCTCTTTGCTCGCTATACTGCAATACCCTCCTTGTGAGCCTCAACTCACGGGATAGTGGGTCTGCCGCATCGATCAAAGAATTGTCTACATTCAAAGCTGCATCGCGACCAGTCATCATATCAATGGAGAGGGGACGCAGTAGCGATTTTAGTGATGACAGAGAAAGCATTTGTATGAGTGATCCAGACATAGTGTAATTTTTACGAATGGACAAAACTTCAGAAGATATCCTCATAATCATCCCCGATCTCCAAATACCTCCTGATGTCTTGTGCGTCCATCCCAGTTTGGCGAGTGAAATGTGAAAGAAGGATGGAATAATTGTCTGAGGAGGTTGTTGCTAAATAACAAATGATCTGACGGGCATTTACTGACCTGTCCACCGTACTGCCGCCTCATGTGCCAGTGTGACAGCTCTCCTTTTCTCTTCAACTTTCACAGGATCACAAGCGCCGTAAGCATCGATTTCTTCTTGTAGAACAGCGAGTTGCTTTTTCATGGAAGTAAGCTGCTCCAACGCTGTCGCGCGAGAATCCTAATTTCTCCCTGATTATTTATTATTCGTCGGATGGAAATAAAACCAACACTTAGGGGTCTGAGAGTTCTCTCGTGTTCGATAGCTGTTTTTAGTTCAGCTAGCTGAGCCTCGTGACCGGCCCTTGTCTCCTTCACGCTGTCCAGGCGGTTTTGGACCTATGGCGTGCACATGTCAGTATAGCTCGCATCTTGAGAAGCGAACAGTTCAACGATAGTTCCTCTTTGCGAAGGAAAGCTCCAGAAAACTTAAAACATGGTTAGTATCTGGGTTCTTGCGCATATCAAGCGCATATATCCAGGTTTGGAGGCATACAGTTTGAAGCACCGATTTTATCACCCTGGACAAGGCCGTCGTCGACGAGGGACTGTAAGACTTCTTTGACCGTCTGGGAAACTTGGGATCTTTTAAGCGTTATCCGATTGGTGTAACAAATAGTCATACCAATTCCCTTGAGCTTGGGACCCAGCTTCTCAAGCTCCTTCAACTATAGAACAATCAAAAGTCAGAGTGAGTCGTCTGAGAGATAAGATAGGTCATACTTGATAGAAGTCTTTCTGACACCCATATTCTGTCAGTTCGGAAAGATCAAATTGCAAAGGCCCAGGTGATAACTCACTGTGTCGTGGAATATCTCCAATAACTTAGTGCGTTTCTCTTCCAAAGACAGACCTCGTGGTGCCTAAAAATGTTGCATGACCAACCAATAACGACAAAAGGATTCCATACCATTTTTCAAACAGAGATAGTGTTCCGACTTGAAAACGTAGAAGATATTACTCAAGGAGTGAAACGCGTCGCGCGACGAAGCCAGTATAGGTCACGTGTTACCTAATCGGAAATTACAAACGGTTCAAGCGGTGAATGCATGCATTTACATGTGGAAGTAACGCGAAAGTAAGCAGAAATGACCGTGATGATTACATACGAAAAACATGCAGTCAAAGTCCTGGAGCGGGAACGCGAGCATTTGTTCCTGGTAAAAATGGATGTAGAAAGCTAAGTAAAATGCAGAGGCGGAGGATGTAACGCAGGATGATGTACAGACACTAAACAAGATAAGGTCGTCATGCGAGGAAACAGCAGGGAACGTGAAAGGGGGCATGAACGATGGTGTTGCGTCACCGCAGGATATCAAGGCGCTGGTCATGGGAGGGGTAGCGATACGCGATAAATTCTCGGTCTTGCTCGACCCGCTCCTCCAGCGCCTTGCGGGAGGTGATAGACATACGCGGACCTGCACTTTGGCGAGATATGGAATGGGTATATGCTGTCGTGAGGTTATCTTCACCCTCGAAGAGTGACGTCGTCAACGGCGGGAATTCATGCGAGTCGCTACCTTTGGCTGGCTCTGGCTGTGTAGTTTTCCTGCCCAGCAAGGACGCAAGTCCAAATCTGCTCCTCCGCTTACTGGGTGTAAATGGCTGAGGATTTTCATCGATGTGCTCCAAGGGGCCAAGCGAGCGTCTGGAGATGCCAAACTCATTGTACATACCACCAGGACCTTTTGAGGGATCGTGTGCACCCAAGGGCATCATGGTCTGAATGCCCAGGCTAGGACGGGAGGTGGAACCACTGAAAGACTGTCGTCTGGGTTCTATGCGGAATGGGGCATGCGGTAGAGTAAGATCACTAGATTCCTGACCAACCTGACGAGGATCATAGGTGTATAGCGTCTGCGGCCGTGATTCTGCACCAGGATTGTTCGGTCGAAGTTTGGCCTCACCGGGAAGGGGTGGCAAAGACTTTTCCCGAGAGAGTATGACTTGTGGCTTGGTCGTTCTGGGAAGTGTCATGCCATTGGTGGAGGCAAAAGTATTCTGCTGGAGCTTCTGACGAATATCAGGCTCGGATATAACAGGATGAAGTGACTTTAGTCTGCCGCTCTCGTCAGCAACAACGGCATAATTCTCTTTCTCGTCAATTTGTGCGCTGCTTTTGCGGTCAGCATCACGATCTATGCCTGATGGACGTGAAGAAGTAGGTGAGGGAAGGAGGCTAGACGGCGCTGTCGAAGGGGACATGCCTGAAGAAGAAAATTGGTTGCGCGGCGAGGATGTCGAAGGAAGCGATGGAGTGGACACGTGGCGCCCACTGCTTCCCAGGTGCTCTCCTGGTCCTCTTTCAACCAGATATGACAAAGGGGGTGGAGGCGCCAAAGGCAAGTCATCCTCATTCCGCTCAGTATCTTGAGACCGAGCTAAATCTCGGCTGCTCGCATGGTCCTGCGGATTCTCTTTGTTTCCCCTGACGAGCTTCCATATCTTTGCAATACCCTTGCGCTTCTTCTTCGATTTGTCCTTCTCGTCGACCGGCGTATCAAGGGGTTCCTGGGGTTCCACTGGTGGCCACAGTTGACTATGTCTGGGAGTAGATAGCATACTCCGATCGCCGACAGGCGATCGTACGCGAAGTCCAGTGCTTTCATGATGCAGGGCCACGCTACAAATATATCATGAAAATGACCCTTTTATGGAAGAAAATACAATACGTACTGCATATCAATCATACTGCCCGACATCCCCGAATGAGCGAGACTATCCTGGCTACGCCATGTAGTACTCAAATTCTTGAAGCCAAAGAAACGCGAGCGTCGTGGAGAAGCAGACCCTCGGCTGTGCGCATCTGAGAATGATGCTTGCGAATAAACCTGGCCCAAACTTTGCTGCCTGTCCGTTGGCGCAGCCAGAGAGCTGACTGGCCTGATGGAGCTTATAGCAGAGTATCGCGAGCTTTGCATTGGCCCAAGACCACTGTCAGTATGCGGACCTAGACTGTGGACCGAATAAAGGGAGGTGACGTCCACTGCAGAACTTCTAGAAGACTTCCGGCCGCGACGATCCCGCTTCTCATTCCTACGGCGGCGCTCTTCTTCTTTTTCTTCTTTACGAATGTCGACATGCTCAACGATGAGACCGTTCTCCAGAACTGTGAGGTCACGTGAAGGACTCCGGATATGATGGCCGAGGGCCCCATTCTGGCCAATGGATACATGGGGTGGCTTGAGACGAAAAGCAGCGTCTTCTACTCCGCCGTTCAAATCATAGGCTGAACGGCGGAATTGTGAGTACGTGTCTCGCATCTTGTGCTCCAGTTGCATCGATTCTTGCATAGCACGTGCGTGTGCAAGTGCCTCAGCCTCGAGGAGACTCCGCTGTGCCTTCACGTACTGCTCCAGAGTCTGCTGTTTCGATGCTGGCTCTCGAGGAGTCTAGTTTGGATAATTAAGATCACTAATAATGAACCGACCGGATTTGCTTACCATCGTGTGCCATATTTTGATGTTTTGTTCACTTAAGCGTCCGCCTCGTGCTCTAGGTTTCGAAGAGCACTCGGATGATAAGATTCCAGCTGCCTCGTCCTCCTGTTCTCTGCGAAGTAACTCCTCGTAGAGTACATCACTTTCACGCTCCCACATCCCAGGACCGACTACGACTACATCTGCCATGTCCTGGTCACGCATTGCACACTCTACGCATATTTCCTCAGGAGGAGTTGGGGGATTTGGGGAGAGGATGGGATTGATCGGATCTGGGGCAGCGGCAGGGGTGATGTAAGTGGGATGTTGCGCGTATGCACGTGGACTGGAAGAAATGGGAATCGTGATGCCCATAGTGGGACTGTAGGATCGTGATGTGGATACCCCATTTGGGGGTGGTAATCTGGATGGACCAGGAGCATCGAGTTGGGGATAAGAGGGCTGCCGGTTGCTGGCAGGTTTGAGGGAAGCCGGAACATCGCGAAATGCTTGTGGAGGTGAAGGTAAAGTTGTGAAGGACTCCCCAGCGGACTTGAATGAGTCATCGAAAAGATTAGAATTTATCAACCCTCCACTGCCGGATGTCCGAACGTTATCGTCAAGGCTATAACGTTCGCTGATACGGTGGGCTGTTCCCTGCGACAAGGGGCTAGAGATCATATTGAGCTGTAGGCCTTGTTGGTCATTAGCATTGAAATCCTCTTTGTCCTGAGGCGCTTGTTCCATTGCTTCTGAACGAGATGAAGGATGTTGGTGTTCAGTCGCTCCCCAAGTCTGAGGACCTGTGGACCCAATAATCATGGGACTAGTGTTATGGAAGCTCTTGTCTAGGGTGAGAGTGGGGTATCGGTTGTCCTTGAAATCGAGATCAGAAATGGCGAGGCTACGTTGAAAGATATTGACATGAAGATTCGGGGGAAGAGTTGACGAAACAGGATTACAGTCAGGTCGCGAAGGTTGAATAATGGTCGAGACCGCAGCCATAACACTTGAAATAACCCGACCAAAATTGACGGTGAGAGTCCAGGGAACAATAAAGGCTCCCCAGCTGGACGATGCTTAGGCTGGCCGTCGACGTAAACAGTGAGCGAAGCTCGACACCGTCGTCAATAACCGATTAACAACCCGGTACACTGCCAACTCAAAGGGGGACGTATAGGAAAATCAAAGAACAGGGACAGTGTTATGTTTGAGGCAGGAAATGAGGCGATGAAATTCGAACGGTAATGTTGCGGCAATATACCACGATCCATTTCCCAGGCGGTCCCTGGACCGGCCGGCCCTGTCCGTTCAGATAGTACTTTCATAATATTTGGCAGTGCCTGCTAGCTGAACATAAACTATATATTTTACACGCGACACAGACTAGCCAAGTGATCCGTACCGTAGCTATAGACTAGGACTAATATTACATGGGAAATGTCCACTAGATTGAAGACCGTAACATCAGCAGCGCAGGTTACCGAGCTGCGGACAGGCTGTACGAAATAAATCTGTCCATACCATTGATTTCGGACGATGCCAACATTTGCATTTGCCACGTCTGTATGTTCAACAGTTACTACGGATCCCTTGAGCGACGCCCGATTTTCCCCACATTTCTATCGCTGTGCAATGTACGGTGGGCGCCGGGACGTAAGAAGTTCATCAGACCAGCGTGTTTGTCTGAATCCCAGAGGCTAGAAGCTTGATGGAGAAAAACGGGCAGAACACATTTGGCTGATCGGCTGAGGCATCAACTACCCGCGGATTCAAATATTTGAATGCCGCGCAGCCCTCACCGTTTTTGGACAGTCTTCTGACCTTCTTTGACGGATGCCGGAGATGACACAGAAGTGGAGAGGACTGCACAAGGAGACTCTTGGGATGCGAATGTACATTCGCTTGGAGCGTGAATCGCGTGAAATTAGCAGAAAGCAGCATGTCGTCCCACGAGCGACGAAACGGCTAGTCCAGTGGAGAGGCTGGCAAGTTACTATGGTAGATGATCATGCCATGGGCAAGACCTTGGGAAGAAAATGTAGGTCTAGGAGCCAGCTAGTCCCCCCTAGATCGTCAGACTATAAACCAATAAGCATAATCGTTCATTTTCAGTAGTAACTTAGTAAGGACAACAGTGCTGCGGTAGCATATGCAACCCGCCATGTCCATAGACATTCAAGTTGCAACTGCACAATCCTCCACACACTATCAGAGTAGCGGTGACGATCCAAGGCTGAGGGTACTTACAAATTATTCTGCATGTCTTGATGTAGTGACTATTCAATCAGTCTTATTATGCGCCAGCCGGGAGAAACTCGAGTAAAAATGCCAGCGGGAGAGATGGGGCACTGCGCGAGAACACAGCGGACTAAGCGAGTGGCGGGTAGGCAGGTAGACATGAAGCATGAAGTTGGACAAGGAAAAAACGGTTAGCCTGAGCATGCCAGCCAACCTAAAAATACCCTTCACCTGACTTACTTAAGTCGTCCGATATAGGTACATGAAACAGTACCTTCTGCCGTAAGGTGGGCCGGAATAAGCCGCAGGTCATAGGGGCCCTTACAAGGCTTAAACCTTGGGCACGATAGGTGGGGAGAATAGACGTTCAGCATCCTCACATCACACAATTCCAATGGAACGTATCCTCCTGTTCTCTCGCTATGCTAGTTCCATACATGGAGGATAATTACAAGAACACACTTTTGTGGACTGTGAAACACGGTATCTCGAATGCTGCAGGAAATGATATGATGTACAAGTGGCAATGATGATGGTGATGGGGGTTGTGATGAGATGCACCACATGACTGGTCCTGATTCTAAGACCCCGCAATGTTCTGAAAAAGATGAAAAGACGAACGTAAACACACTTAGTTCACGCATCAAAAACCTCTTGTGCTCCCAAACTGATCATAAACCATGTCCCGCAGCCTCACCCACACGCGTGACTCGGCACCAGCAGCTGACTGTTCCATTTCCGACACCTTCCGTTCCGTTTCTACGAGTCGACGCTTCAAGTTATGAACTTCATCCCTCTCGGTCTCAAGCAATCGGAGGGCGTCACGAGAACGGGTCTCAGCTTGTCTGACAGACAGGTCAGTGCGTTCCTGGCGCTTCTTCGCAGCAGCAAGGTCGGCTTCAATTGTAGACTTGGCTATGCGCGTGAGTCGGAGCTCATCCTCTAGAGCTAGAATACGAGTAGAAGCGGGAGCAGTGGGGACGCCTGATGTTTGTTTGGACATAGAAATAGGTAGGATGTTGTTGGCGGTGGAAAGCTTTTGGGCGTGATCTGCAAAAGCTAGTCCTAGGGCGTTCACATCTGTACTAGTATTTCCTGAATTGGAAGAAATAAAGTCGTTTTTCGTTCCGTATATTGTACGAAAAAGTTCTTGAGCAGCGGTTGCATGTGCTATCCTCTCTTCGGGAGATGAAGAATCGCGGCTTATGTCCAGCTGACAGGCTGCGAGAACGAGAATGGCAGATCGTAAGACAGCGGCGTCGTGAGCTGTGGTGTTGACGTCTATGGGTGTAAATACGGAAGGTGCGGGAGATTTCGCTAGCGATGAGGAAGCCTGATGGAAGGGACCTTTGAGAGCCGTTAGTGCCCAACATAATTAGTGATAATTCCAGGATAATAATTTCACCATTTTCTTTGTTTTTGCCAGTCAAAACACCGCCCGCACGAGTAGCAGGGGCATGCTTGCCAAGCAAGGCCCTAATCACCTTGCAAGCTGCACGAGAACGGCCAGTCCGCCTGTAGTGTGCTGCGGCAACAAGATATGCGCCAGGTTCGCTCTGAGTTGCTCCAAGCAATGTGATAGGACCAATAGGGTCATCAGGAAGTAGGTTCAAGTCGTAACTCAACGGGTGCCCGTGGTGTAAGAGAGAAAGCCTCTCCGGTCCAAAAGTGAAGGGAATTGGTCGAAGCTCAGCTGTAGAAGATTCTGGCAAAGGCAGGGAAATGGGTGCAATGGATACAGGAGTTGGGGGAAGTACTTGCTGAATTGGTGTCGCGGGAACCTTGTTCTTGGCAAGCACCGGATTGCATGAAGGAGTAATGCTCAAATCGATGCTGTCTAGAAAGCTATCCACGGACTGTACAGATGGCATGCCTTGCGATGCAGGGTGCTGTGCATCACGACAGGCACTTACAGATCCAGAACATCCATTATTCAGGGAGGGTAAAGACGTTTTTTCTTTACCCTTGTCGTCAGAAGCGCGGCGATCAGAAGATTTGGTGATATGGAACGAGGGGCCTTTGCTGTCCTTGTGGTTGTTGAGTGCAGGGGAGCTGCTACGGTGGTGCTCCTTACGATGGGAAGGAGCGCGCCAAAGGCCAGACCGTGCATAGCGGTCAGTAATGAAGGCATCATCATCATGACGCAGCCTCTGGGCAAGACACATCCTGTCTCCGTCATTGGAATCCTTGCGTTCACGTGCTTCCGTGGACCGCTTGCGCTTCTTACAGACCACTCCTTCCGCTCGTGATGTTGACTTTTTTACTAGGCTTCTATAGGGCCTTGGTGGAAGGTGGTCCGCAGCGGGTCGCGATGATGAGCGCTCTAACGGGGAAGGCGACGCGGGGCTGGTTGCGCGATTTTTAGTCATCACGGTTTCGGTCACTAGAGATATTTAAAATTTTAACGCGTCGAATATGGTCTTTCGACGCGTCAAGGATATCAGAATTATCGTAGCGATGATCAGATAGATAGAGAGAGACTTACAGATCTTGGGACAAGTAAAATGAGGGTGTCCTACGCGGGACTTGCGCGGGGCGCGATAGCCTCTAGTACTATGATACAAGACTAAATCCCAGTTCCGTACAAATAAGAGAGAGAGAAAGAGGGGAGAACGAAGTGAACAAGTGAGTCGGTCGATCTTTATGGCCACTGATAGAAATGAATTGTGAAAGGATAAGGAATCGCAATTGCGTTGGATGTATTTGAACAGAAGGCGCAACCAGGCTTCTCTTATGGAATCTTCCGCGGCTTTACGTATCCTAATTAGGCGCGCACAAGTGCTCGACGTCGTTCAACAACACCTCCACCTGAGTACCAGTGTCAGCTTGCACTGTCCGGTCCAAATATTGCACCAGGCCAGATGGTGATTGTATTTCCAAAACATACAATACCGCCATGCCAACAGATGCACAATACCGCTGTGAGTATCCTGCCTATTTATATAGGAGTGAGGTAGAAAAAATAGTCACCTCAGGCTGGGCAGGCATTATAGAATGGACAAGTGAGACAGCCGGAACTATTTCTTTATGACAAAAACAATGGTCACTATTGCATATAGCTAGCGCGCTCAAGCTAAAAGAATTTTGACCTACTACTTATGGACGAGACATTGTCGGAAACCATGATGGTTGCGTAGTGTTGCCCCCAACATGCACCTATGCTGCACAGGATTTATTGCATCCGAAAAAAGTTGTGGAATCCTGGTGTCAACCTGGTGTCCGTCACACCAACTGTGGACAATATAAAGCAGATGAGTCTCAGTGAACTGCGCAGCAGGCTCACTTTTTTTTTTAATTCTCCCCCGGTAATCTTTTAACTATTTTTCTTCCCTTCATTCAATAACTCAATCCTTGAAAACTCACGATGTTCTTCAACTTTGCAATTCTTCTAGCTGGCGCTGGTTTCGCCGTTGCTCAATCGTACGTTAGAGCAAAGTTTTTTTGGGGAAGACTGGGCTGATATTTTTTGTGTTCAGGGGACTCTCTTCGCAGTGCCAGAGTGCACTACTTAACATTTCAACCTCGCCCAGTGCCGCATGTTTGAATCCATCAGGGCTTATCTCGCTCGTTATCACGAACTCAAACTCAAGTTCGATTATTCCTGGTGTCAACACCTGGATTTCGGGCTTGTGCACTCAAGCCGCCTGTAGTAACTCGACCCTCCAAACTGTCGTAACAGATGTCATTTCGGGATGTTCTACTGATCTCTCGAGTCTTGGAGTAATTACCACCGATCCCACTGCTATTGTCACATCCATTCAGGCCTATTACCCTACTGTTCGACAGCTTTTGTGTTTGACAGAGTGAGTTGAGCAACTACCATTTACTTTTCCCTTTTTTCTAATCAATTTTTTAGCATTTTGTTGACCACTCATTGTGTTCCTGAGGTGCTCACGGGCATACAGTCTGCCACGACGACTCTTTCGCTAAATAGCATAATCACACTTGTCACAAAATTGGTATCCGGTCGGAGCACTGGAATTCCCTCGAGTGCTGTCTGCACCAATTGCACTAAGGCTGCCTATACCGTCCTTAGTCAGGGTCTTCCTGCAATTGCTACCGCCGCTCAAAGTTCATTCTCATCCGAATGTGGTGCCAACTACACAAGTAATTTTGGTTTCATTTTATTTCGTCAAGGCGCTCACATCCTCTGGCAGATGGTCAGATGCCTTCTAGTATTCAGGCGACAGCAGGCAATTCCTCGTCAACAACTAGCAGTAGTGGTGCTATTGCGCTTTCTGTTGGTAGTCTCAACATGGGTGCTGCTGCTGTTGCAGCCGTCGCAGCCGCCTTTGCAATCTTTGCTTAACTTTTACTTTTGTAACGGACTTATGAAGTTATTTGGACTGTTGAGCAACTTGGTGAATTATTTACAATCATGAACATCATACCGATATTGTTTGTGCTCGTAGAGTACATTGTCAATGTACCGATCTCGATCTCTTGCAATCAAAGCAGGGGAAATTGGGAAGCCTAATGAGGAATTACGTCAGCCTCCATACATCTGAACTCGAGGGTTCAGACAGTTGTTCCCATACGCTGCGATCCAAGACCTTGCTCACTGAGCCAACGAGTAATCTCTCTGACTGACATATAGTCGGTCGATGTCCACGATGCAGACAAGCACACCTCGCTCGCCGCGCTTTGACCTTCCTCCTGCACCTGTTTATACCACTTCCAATACAGCTGACAACGGCCTTGCGGAGTGGACGAGCAAGATCAAGGCAATGCAACGCCAGGTCAACGCGGATGATGAGGCAGAGCAACGTCGTCTCGAGGAAGAAATCGTGCGGGCACGACTTGCGAGGATGAGACGAAGTACATCAGGCATGAGCGGTGATTTCGGCGTCGGCATGCATGGCATTGATCTGGGTCGGTATCTCTTGGCGTGGACACTTCCATATTCTCTAACTTGTAGATGATTGCATAGGCAAGTTACAGGAATCATCATCTAGTGTCACTCCTTCGCCAAATGATCTGCCTGCGGGCAACACTACCAGTGCACCTGCCTCAGAGAAGCCACCTCGAACTATACCTTCACATAAACCAGCAGTGTCATCTAATACCACGCCCAAGAGAGTCCATATGTCATTGGCTGCATTTATGGGTGGGTCGACTGCTGCCGGCCCTCGATTGAAACGCCACGAGCCACAACAGGATGCCACTGTTGTGCATGATGGGCGCAAGGATCATGGTCCCGTACATCCAATATTCGGAAGAAATGGAATCGCTATGCCGGGGATGGTCAAAGGAGATGCACAACCTTCTGCAGCTGCCACATTTCCACCTTCAGCTGGCACACCTGTTCGTGCATTTCCCACTTCCACACCAGATGTCGTGAGATCCCGTACTACGAGTACTTCCTCGGTCGCCCGTCGATATGTGGAACAACTTGAAAGCCAGCCGCAGTCTCTGAACCCAGGACTTGCAAGGCCAGGCATTCGGGAGCGCAGGATAAGCACTCCCGCGGGCAACATTTCAGCACAGCTGAGAGTAGATACGCCACACTCGCCTTCATACCGTTTGTCTCAGAACTATGGTACCAGAGCTGCTGTGGTTCCACCAAGTTCCCTCGTTGACTCTCGGTCGAAAACCCCCATCACTGCGGAGATGCGCCCCAAGACACCTGTTACTGAAACTCGTGTGAAGACTCCCAATCCTGAATCTGTCCGTGCTAAGACGGTGACAGAATCTGTATACTCCAAGACGCCTAATCCTGAACATACTCGGACGAAGACCCCCAATGCTGAGCCCAATCGTGCAAAAACGCCTGATGCAGATTCTGGTCGCACGAAGAGCCCAATCTATACACGTTCAAATTCCTCTCAGCCCTCTTGGACACCTAGACAACAGTCTACTCCAATTCCATCTGTCACTCCAACGTCCCCTGTGCGGCAGACTTACTCCCCACAGCCATCACGCGGGGTCTCCCCTGCCTTTCTGTGTCCGCCTGCCAATTCATCTACCAAGGATCCAACGCCAAGTATCAGTCGGCTGCAGGGTCGCGGTTTTGTGCAGAGTGTTGTTCAAGCCAGTGGACGCCTCGAATCAGCAGCAGGAGCCGCGAGGAGGGAGAGCACATTTGGATCCCCAAGTCAAGCTGCCAGCGAAACGCGAGATAAGAGTGCTAGAAGAGCAAGTGTCTTAGACCGTTGGCAGCCTGCAATGAATAATACTGGAACACCATCACTGCCCCCACAGTCCCCATTCCCGGTAAACCGCGGAAGGACACCAGAAGCCAGGCAGGCAGAAGTGAAAACGCACGACACGGAATTTTCTTCAAAGAGCGCTGTATCCATTCCCACCCTTCCGAAAACGCCATCTGGGAAGACCAGTGCTCTTCCTGAGAGCGCGAATAATAACTTAGGGTCCTCCACCACGATGATTGCATACATCAAGCCAACCAAGACTGGTGATGATCCAGTCGTTCGCAATGTTGATGAACTCGGGGTGAAAGCGGACGGGAGTGAGGCGAGGACGCGTGTATCTTCGTCTCCTAACAAGCCACTGAGTCATGTGCGTGCTCTCCGGTAATGCTTAACGCATCGATGGTTGATGGATTTTTTCTTTATATCCACATTTTTTGATATCTTGGTTTCGTTTAATGGTATATGATGGTTTTTAATCGGAATACGCACTCTTTTTGCCGTGATTCGATTTTTCTTTGTTTGCCGGCTTCTGAATTACTAGCCAACCAAGGATAGAGCGAAGAAACCTCGCAAAACAGGTGGTTCTGCACATGTTGCCTCTCCTGAAGGACAGCCTCTTGATGTAAAAGCCACTTTACCACAACCGATTGCGGTAGAATCGATCACCTCAACAAAAAACACTCAATTGCTTCCAATTGCTCCCACCCAGCCAATGATACGATCTCGATCGAAACCTCAGTCACAGCTTCCACTGACGATCGCACCATCCAACACCACTGGCCGTGTCACAGACCGCTGGACAGAACCGACATTGATTGGTGTAAAGCCTATTGCATCCTCAAATTCTACTGCAGGCCAGCCTCCCCCGAGTCAGAAACCGCAGGGTACGGTGGGAAGACTGGCTCTGCCAGGCCTAGCGGCTGCACCAGAAACTGCAGAGAAAGTGAAGGAGAAACCTCCTCTTGGAAAGGAGCGCGCGGTCTCACCTTCGCTAGCGAAACATGGCCGCACTCCTAACACAGGGAATCGTGCCACCGTCATGGACGTTGCGCAAGCTTTGAGTGGGGCCCAGCAGGGAAACGATTGCGCGCTGAGTCCACTTGCTCCTAGCATTCTGAGTTCTCAGGCTGAGAAGAGGAAGCCGAGTATTGAGAAATACTCCTCTTTTATGATGCCACCGCTGAAGGAAGTGAAGACCCCTGTGTCGTCTCCAGCAGGAACATTGGCAAAATCATTTGGGGAGGCTTTACTGGATTCCAAACTCGTCGGTGAAAGCTCCAAAAGTAGTCTGGGAGTCAAGCCAACTATCCAGCGCACTGCGTCCAGTTCATCTCTAGTGTTCGATGTCGTGCACATCGGTGAGTTGAGCTACATTGTTTTAGTAATTACTGATTCGATTATTCTGACAGATCACACGAACGAGTCCCTGCCAAGTGTCGATGTGGATGCTCTGTTGAAATCTGTTCCTCCAACGTTTAGCGCTGACCCGAATATTCACACCATTTCTGTTGAGACTTTATCCATCAATAACGGCACCGCGACTCCCGTCCTGCGCGATATTCATATTCTCTACGATACGGAGGTGTTGGTGATTGTACACCGCGGAAAGGCCCGTGACGGTGGGCTTGTTTCCATGAAGGTTTGGTGCTGGCATGGGAAACAATGCCGATTTGGCGAGAGAGAGCAGAAGAAGGCAGATGAGCTTGCAAGACGGTATGGATCAGCTCTGGTGAGGATATGTCTTTAAGGGAAGAATTATATATAAAATATAGGAATGACTTCCAGGAAACAGTGTTCCAACGACACGAACCTCCAGAACTTGTTCATGTTCTGGGAGGAAAGATTGCCATCCGGCAGGTCGGTATCATAATACCTCATGATGCTGTTGTTATGCTGTTACGTTAATACCCATTCCCTAGGGCACTCGCACGCACTGGACTTCTGAAAATACAGCAATGCACGTGGTGCGCTCGAGCGGGGAACACATATATATCGACGAATTGGATTTGGTATGCTGCTCGCATGAACAGACCTGGGACAACGTTGAACTCCTGATTACAGAGCATCCGAAACCTGTGTTCAGGCTATAGCTACTGTGTCTCTATCCTTGACCAGATTTATGTTTGGCATGGTTGTGGGTCAACTCCGAAGGAACGCAATGCTGCCCGAGATTACGCACAGGTCTCCGCCGCGAAAGGGACTTCTATCAAGGAACTTCGAGAAGGTGACAATGATGTAGATGACGAGATGTTCTGGATGGTCCTTGGTGACTCTGGGGATTACGCCAAGGCAGACTATTGGAGATTTAGAAATGCTTCTGCTCCCAGTGATCCTCGATGCTGGATCGTGGATGCTACAGTCGAAGGCGACCCGGTATGCTGTTTGATGACATGCGGTTGGCTTGCACCTGACATGGATGCAGATTCGTGCTGTTGCATTGATATCGGCAGAGACTATACTTCAGCAATCAGTGTACATTATCGACTGCTCTTTGGAATTCTTTGTCCTGGTTGGAAAACATGCACGTTCCAAACGTTCCGATATCTCTCTAGCAATTCAGACCGTCATGGTAAGCATCATGTCTGCTGTGAAAAAATCACCCACATGATTTCATATGTTAGGCTATGGCGAAGAAGGTGGCAATATCTAAACCCTTCTATCCGACCATCCATGTACTTGTAATACCTACGCAACTTCCTCTGGACATGCGGCATGCCTTCCGCGATCTTGATGAGTCTCAAGTGGTACTGTCTTCTCTCTTCGAGCATCCGGCCTGCTCTGATCTTTTGCACTAGAATGGAGGCTTCGTCCCCGATCACATGAATATCCTTTCGACTACCGAGGCGATTGAGCATGTTAGTGTCTTTTCATGGCATGCTAGTTCTTCTTCAATGTTGCTCACTGACTGCCTTTCTGAAATAGCTGCGCACTTCATCTTGGGAGAAAGCAGCATTGCGAGATCAGAATATGCTTCCTTTGGGTCTTGACGCAGCTCCTGTACTGTCATCTTGATATATGCGCAAGTGACAGTTTTTCTGACGCTAGATATGAATAATTGGAATGATCTATAGAGTAGTTTTTACCTTGTTTTTACCCATACTTTCTTGCTGCAATCATTCGGTGCCTGTCCTCCAGCGATCACCTTCTTTTTGGATTTACAAGAAGATCACTTACGATAATTAGACGCACGGGATCATGCTGCTCTTATCGACCGATTGACGACCATGCCGGTATCACTGCTAAATGTAAGTTATAGGCGGAAATGCATTCTGGCCTGCAGGCGAATTGAGTGTGAATATTCTTAATAGAACCTGGGAACGAGCCGACTGTCTTCCATCACTTGAATTAAGATGCCACCTGTTTCACCCAATCTAACCAGGTCGGAATATGTTTTGGGAGATAAAGGGGAGACCATTTGAGTCTTTGCATGTTGGCCAGACTCCGAATTCCGCACTGGTTCCGCGGAAGCAATTCATATTTCGTAATCTTAGCGCTCGTATTTAAGCGCTCGCCAAATTAGAACAAAGCATTTCTCGTGGAACCTTTGTGAACCGTGGTAAGCTTTCCATTTCCTTATTCTTTTGTGTCCACAAGTATATAGCTGCACCAAGTACAATGATGATTAACTTGCACTTCCAGCTTGCAGTCCTTTATACTACCCTCGAGCTCTCAGCTCGCATCCAACGCTCACCTTCAACCATACATTCTAACAACACACTCTTTACAACATGACACGTGCTCTTTCCGTCCTCGGGTTGCTGCTCCTTCTGTCTCTGAATCTCGTTTCTTCCCGCCACGTTTCTCGAAGCTGCCATCCTCATAGCAGCAGGTCTGGTAGTGATTCCAGTACCCATCCGTTGTCTGGGGTCATTTCTGTGGGTAGTGCACCTCCGGCACCCGCTACGAACACCAACGGCGGCTCCTCCCCCTGTTTCCCGTCTGAGGGTTTCATCATGCCGTCTAGTGTTCCCAGCTCGATCGATGGTTGGTGGTGTTCTCCAAATACCGAATATGCATTCCTTGGATTCAGTTATGAAGTAACTGCTTGTGCGACCATTGTTTCTCCTGACGCTCGTGAACTGATGTAACTTCAGGCCAGTCTATAAGCAAGCTCAACAGTGACTTTGCTGACATCAAGAACACCTTTGGATCGAGATATGTCCGTCTTTACGGCGCTTGTGATAGAGACGGTTTCTAGTAATGCAATTATCAGTTCTAGTTGTTTCCGAGCTGACTGGTTTTTATCTCAGTGATGATATTGTCAGCGCTGCATGGACCACAGGTCTAGGCGTTCATGCTCTGATTTGGGTGAGACTTTTTCAATGGGAATGGTAGTTATGATTATAACAGTTTTTGTGGCACATAGTTTGGATTCGATGGAGGCGATCAGTGGATGACTCGCCGTGATTCGCTGGTTTCTTCGCTCACCAACAACCCCAAGGCCAAGTTCGTCACTCGAGGCGTCCAATTCGGTTCCGAGCCTCTGTTTGATGACGTACTACCGCATTCGCAACTAGCAGCGGAGGTCACGTCTTTGAAATCCAAGCTCTCTGGCGTCGGGATTCCTGTCACTGTCAGCGAACTCGCATACGGATACCAGGAGCGTGGCGGCGCTCAAGACGTCCTTGATGCTATCGACTTTATCAATATTCATATGCTCCCTTTTTTCTCGGCCCTTGCAACGTTTGGTGCTGCTGCATGGCCGCTCGTTAAGACTGACATGAACTGGTTTATTGAACATGGCAATGGCAAGAAGATGTACTTTGATGAGGTATGTCTGTCCTAGTCGGGTGCAATTTTTTTCTTTGCTAAGGCGTCCCACTTTCCAGAATGGTTGGCCCTCCGTCACATCGCCTGGCGTTCAGCCTAATACCATTCTTGCCCAGTGCTCGGTAGCTAACGAGGAGGTCAGTCGCATCATGAAATTTAACGTCTTTGGTAGTCTAATGAACTTGACACAGGGCTACTTTTCTATGCTCGATAGCCATTGCGAGGATCTCAAACTCGGCCCTCAGGGTGGTATCGGTTGGTTCGCCCATATCTACAGCGACGACCAGGAGCCTGGCTATGGCATATACGATGATGCTGGGAACAAGAAATTCCCCTTCAAGCCTCGCACGTCTTGTTAGCCGGAATCTCGCATCTCAACCTACATATTTGGACATTCATTTACTCATTCATTCGTTTATTATATATGGCACAAGGCATTGTTCATTCAGTTAATAGGAAGGGAACGGCAGATCTACTTACTACACTCCACCTAAATTCTCATTACGGAATGAGATCGACATCCTGTAACATTATCACAATTATACCTATTGCAATGGAACGTGTTAAGATTCCACTTTACAGTACGGTGGAAGAATACCCAGTGTAACAATATATCCAGCAGAATCTAGTTCAAATCTCAGCCATACCACTTGCCTCCCAATCTCGTCTTAGCTGCCGGTCTTTGGGGTATCATAGACTCAGTGATCTCAAAAACTTCTATAGCACGCTGTTTACCAGATGAAGTGAGTGCGAACCAACAAAATGGGGTGTCTTACCCTCCATGTAGCCATGTCAAACTCCATAACTATTTGGTGACACGTTACCCCGTCCGCGCGATCTTGTGCACTAGGTGCTTCGCATAAGACTGCAAATGTTGAGTGTACGGCCGATAGACTCAAAGAGACGATGCTCACATATGATTGGTTCTCCGTTATCGTCGATTTCGAGGGCACAAAGCCCGTCTCGGATGAGGAAAGAGAGGTAAAATATGTTTTCAACAGATTGTGCGAAGTCATTGGGGTTGATTACAAAGCGGAAGAGGTTCACAGCACCAGACTCCTCAAGAATTTCTCTAACCTATGAGGAGGTTCATTCAATGCACTAAGGGGCTCTTACAAACCTACCTTGATTACGTTCTTCGTGGTTTCGTTCTCTGATCGCTGGATGTCTTCTTCTTTGATCTCCTGAGGTCTGCGCTCTTCTTCTTTGCTCTTCTCAAGCTTTGCACGTTTGACCTGGGCGCGTTTTTTTTGTTCTACTGAAAGAGGTCCAAGCCTGTAGTGGGCTGAGTGCGAAGTCTGATTTGTTTGGGAATAACCGACATAAATCCCATTACTGGGACCCTTCTGCTCTTTGCCAGTGCTCTTCGACCAATTTTCTCCCAGTCCATCACGGAGTCACCGATGTCATCTAGTTCCGAAGCATCGTCTGCAAGTTCGTGCCTGCCACCCATAAATATAGCAAGTTTGGAGACGAAGTCATCAACGTCGAAGGCGGCAGAGCCAAGTTTCATTGCGCGGGCCTTCTGCGCACTAATACTTGATACATTCCGAAGTACAGTGGAATCAAGTGTAGCCTCGGTCGGATTTTTCACTGAAAGTGTCTTCCATTGCACGAACCAGGGAAACGAAAGGAGGACACACCTTTTTGGAACAGTTCATCGGCTTCTTCGACGTGTTCAACGAGTTCAGCAGCCATTATGTCTTGTGGTCGAAGTTGATCTTTTGCAGAAAGACCATGATAATAAGCTTCTAGCTCATGCGGAGTAGCGCCGGCCACGGACCTCCTGTCCTCTTTTCAAGAGCACGATATTTTTTCCGGATGTCACGTTTTTCAGCGGCATCCTGGTCTGGGTCATATGGGAGACTACTTGGACTGCCCATGCGCACGTTCGGGTCGAAATGAACCATTTCTTGAAGCTTCCGCTGCTGTATTCGGGTGTGGTAGAAAACAAGAGGCGCGTATCACGTAATCAGTGGCGCGTCGCGTCGCGGCGACCGCGCCAAAGCCGCGTAAACAGTGACTTCAATTAATTGCAAGGCTTTGTGTTCTGCCACTACGACGCCACTTAGAAGTCAGAAGCCAGTACAACGCGTTCATAAGATACCTACGCAGGTTACCGTCAATGGTACCGCCAAAGCATTCTATCGATGTGAGCATTATTATTGTCTATTGTGCTGAGAACACGGGGCTTATAGGAGCTTAGTATAGTAGAAGCACCCGGTCGGTGTGCAAGGGCCCCGCTCCTTGTAGTGGCTCCCCAATTCCAGTCGGAGGATTGAGATATGGGCAACTTGTTCCAGGAGAATATGGTGAAACAGTCGCCTGGCGTCACTGGTAAGTAGTACTTCTATTTGCTGTTTACCGAATGTCTTTGCTGACCATAAAATTTCAAAGGGGATGTGTCACTCCAGATATCTTGAGAAGCCTTGCAGTAGTGGACCAAAGCACAATCATCGGCTTTGGCAGCATTCGGTAAGAAGTCCTCTACGACATGCACGTTTAGTTTGTTCTAACTTTCCCAGTCCGGAGGATCAGACCAAGGTCCGGCGAGCGATTGCGAACCAACGAGTGGATCCAGCGGACGTTCCCCTGACTGCCAAAGTAACTACCTCTGCTGCTGCTCATGCTACACCTTCCACCTCCCAGGCACCTGCTCGCAGTCAGAAAAAGCGCAAAGCTACATTTGAGCAGGCAGCGCCGACAAACTCTCAGCTAAGCTCTGTAAAGCCGGTTATACGGGCCACTTGCAGTCCCATCGTGTACGATGTTGACGAGGATGATGACGAGGATGAGGTCATCTTGATTGAATCTGACCCTGTAGATGTCTTGTATTGCACCTTGAGTTCCAGTATTGTCGGTGTCCAATATTACAAAGGTGATTTTTTCTGCAGATTTTCTTCACATATGCATTCATTCATGTGGCGTTCCAAGGTCTCGTTGGTGCTGGCGAGGAAGTCACGCTAATTAGAGAGCCGCAAAATAAATACGACAGGTATCTATAGCAAATTATCGATATCGAGCTGAAGGCTAATACTGCTCCAGGAATGCCATTGAGGTCCGGAATATTGGGGGTAATAAGGTCGGGCATGTACCCAAGCAGACGGCTGCGAAGCTTGCCCCTCTTTTGGATCGTGGCGCGATTACTGTTGAAGGTGTGATGCACGAAGGAAACTGTAAGTCTTCTGCATATAATATACCATATAGGCAAGATTCCAATGAAAAACAGTGTCTGGATTTAGCTACTCACTCTCCATGTGAGAATTTGTAACATCGCATGTATCGGAAGGATGCTCACTATTCACAGGACACTGAAGATTTATGGACCATCTGACAAGAGGGACCAGCTTGAGCCCCAGTTAATTTGGGCTACTCCTCGTCAGCGCGGGTTTCCGCCTCGGGGAGTAGGAGGCGCGACTAAACAAGTATCATCTACTGCATATGCAGTCGCAGCTGGGCCTTCGGCAGCAAGTTCATCGTCCACATCTCAGCCGTCGTCAAGCCAAAGGCACGGAGCCAAAGCAACGCAATCAAAGTCCCAGCAGGAGGCTATTAAAAAGCAGCAAGAGGCCGTTAGAAAACATCAAGAAGCTCTGCAGAATGCAGCTGAGCTGAAACAGATGTTGGGCGGTCTAGAGAAAGTAGACGATGAGGGAAGACGTGCCTCTCTCCTGGATGCGTTATGTTCTGTCGACGATATTCTCAATCTTCCGGTCCATCCCGCTCCCCCTGGCATCGCCAATGGTGATCTGGTTGTTGATTTGCTCAGGCACCAGGTAGGTGGAAGTCGCTTGTGTTTTTCATCTACTTGATTCTCGCATGCAGAGCCAAGCGCTGCAGTGGTGTATTGATCATGAATACCCGTCTTTACCAGCTAAGGAGTCCGACAGGCCGGTTCAATTTTGGCAGTACAGAAAAATTGGCTCGGAGGTGTGTTAATCTTGCTTTTTCTAAACTTTCAGTCATTCATTCAGTCATATCAGCCCCACTACTTCAACAGTTGAGTATGTGACATTGTTTGCTGTACTTTGCTCAACAATGTGGGTAGTCGCAACGAAAACTCCTCAAGAGATATCATCACCTCCTCTGCTCGGCCGTGGCGCCATCCTAGCAGATAGCATGGGGCTGGTCAGTAGGACTTTCAAACACTTAGAGGTGATATTAAGCTTGCACGCAGGGGAAAACGCTTTCCATGCTAGCTCTCATTCTTGCAACTCAGAAGGACGTTCCCACTGATCATTCGAAGAGCACACTTATTGGTGACGTCTTTTGTTTTCTCATTTGAGGGTCTTTCTGCTGATTAAGGATACCAGTTGCTCCACTTTCGGTCATATCCAACTGGGAGAAACAGATTGAAGAACATTGCGTCAGAGGTGCAATCTCATGTTGCACCTATTATGGTGCAACACGCGACATGACACCTCAACAACTCTCGCAGTATGATGTTGTCATCACTACATACCAGACGGTCACTGGAGAATCCGACGTTTCTGCAACTGCCGTTGGTCATGGACCATCTAAGAAGAAAAAGAAGGTTGAAAGGGCGCTGTTCGACGTGAAGTGGAAGGTGAGTGGATAATGACATGAACATAAGCTATAACCTATCTACTCTCTGTTGTTCAATTAGCGAGTCATTCTTGACGAAGGACACACGATTCGTAATCCGAAGACGAAGATGGCTAAAGCTGTTTGTAGACTCACGGCCCAACGCAGATGGGTGTTGTCTGGCACTCCCATCGTGAGTGTATAAATTTTGGATGCCAAATAGCTCACCTACAATCCCGTCTTTTTTAGATCAATTCTCCAAGGGTGTGTTTTCCAAAGATATGGTAGAAGAAAAATGACTTGACCGCAAATGCCTGCAGGATCTTGGGTCTATCTTGACCTTCCTTCAGATTTGTCGTCCACTCGACAAGGAGGACTTCTATAAGCGCTTGCTCCTACGTCCTTTGAAAGATGGAGATCCCTCCGGTGCAGAGCTGCTGCGAGTGAGTAGTTACTACCCTATGTCGAATTTTACTGATTACTACGGCTATAGGCTCTGATGAGTCACGCCTGTATTCGTCGCACAAAGGAGGTAAGGTACTACAGATTACAGACGGACAGTTCTGATTGAACCTGGATTTTGTAGATGCAAGACAAATTTGGAAGGCCACTTGTGCCTTTACCTCCGGTAGTGACGACTGTTGTTCGCTCCAAAATGTACGATGGTTCTAATTTCTCTGTTAGGTCGACATTACTGTCATTCCAGTTCCATTGGGAGATGAAGCACGAGTACGTTTTGTCTGCTGTTGCAATATCGGTCACACTCAATGTCATATAGGCTCTCTATGATGCTATTGGTTCAATCTCTCAGCAACGAGTGGAGAAGTTCATGAACCAACAAGGAGGGATGACCACTGCGGTACGTATTCCCCGATCGCAAGGCCAATTGTGTTGACCTGGGTTCTCCTTATAGTTCACGACAAACGTCCTTAGTATGCTAACACGGCTACGACAAGTAGTTCTGCACCCAGGCCTTCTTCCTCCAAACTACTTGGAACAACTTCGTGCTACAGAGGATAATGAAGAAACTGCAGGTGTCGCTCTCCCGGTTACTCAGGATCAGAGGCGCCTGCTGCAGAGTCTCCTCGCCAAAGCTATTGAAGACAGTGAAGAGTGTCCTATTTGCTTCGACGTCCTAAACGACCCAAGGATCACGGCTTGTTCCCATTCTTTCTGTTTCGCATGGTCAGGATTCGTGATAGTGCTTGACAGCAACAGTATTCTGATTTAATTTCAAAGCATTTCTGAAGTGATAGCCAGAGACCCGAAATGTCCTATGGTACAGCTATGTCTATGGCAGTCTTCAGTTCACTGACATATCTTCAGGATCGTCGTACCATTGGGATGGGCGATTTAATAGAACCACCACCTCCCACTGAACTTACTCAACTGCCGGTCCGTTATGATGAGAACGAAACTCATGATAGCACACTGCGATCCGGATCGTCTGCAAAGATTGATCAATTGATCCACCTCCTCCAACTCATCCCTAGCGACCAGAAGAGCCTTGTTTTTTCCCAGTTTACTTCATTCCTGGATAAGGTGCGCCTGAAACTTCAAGGTATTGCAATCATGCTCATGTTACTGCATCCAGATCGGCGAGGCCTTTGAGGAGCATGGGTATGATCTCATTACTGATCGCTTCTCCAATTAATGTTAATTGCGTCGTAGCATTCCATATGTGCGGTTCGATGGCCAGCTGTCAGCTAAGCGACGGAAAGAAGTCCTTGAGCAGTTCTCTATTCCACTTGAAACTGAAGGGGATCTGGTCGACATCGAGACTTCCCTTCCGCCACGCAGAAGACGTACCTCGACACAAACAACTTTCGTGGAAGAGGATGTCCTTCTGGGGGACGATGATTCCAGCTTCATCGTAGATGATGCTGACGATGACACTGACGACTTTCAGGAGGACATCTCTACCATGGCAAAGAAAGGCAAGGGAAAGTTGAAGCCCAAGAATAAGGGTAAAGCGAAAGCAACATACGGCCCATCAACTAGCCAGAAAGCTAAATTCGATGGCTCCTCTTTTGGAAGCAAGATTCCCAGAGTGATGTTGATTTCTTTGAAAGCTGGATCACTGGGTCTGAACCTAACTGCTGCCAATAATGTCTTTTTGTAAGTGATGTATTTTTATCGCTGCAACTTCAAACTTATTCGGTATCGTAGGATGGACCCGTGCGTTTCCTTATCATAGTTAATTCCAACGAACTGACCTTAACCCACTTGTATTAGCTGGTGGCAGGCAAGTTCTTCAGTCTCCCCTTCCGCAGCAACTACTTGACGTACACAACAGGAGGGTATTGAAAGTCAAGCAATCGACAGATGCAATCGGTGAGCTGCAGCACATGTCTTCTCCCATTGACCGAACTAACTTGAAGAAGTATTGGACAAAAGCGACCAGTTCACGTTTACCAGCTGATCGCCGAGAATACTGTCGAATCCAAAGTGCGTTCGCCGAATTAAATGTTCTATCTTACTGAAATTTCCATCAGGTCATCGAGATACAAGAGAGAAAGAAGCTTCTGATTCAACAGGCAAGTGTTAATGACCGCTTTCTAGTTATGGCACACCTCACTAATCGCACGTTTAGGCGTTTGCTGGAACCAAGCGTACGGAGACTCCAAGACAAAAGAAAGAAGCTAGATTGCAAGGTACGTGTCTCGTCACTGACAACAAGACAGACTTTAGAGTAAGTTTTTCTAGACATCCTCGAATTGATGGGTGGCATCCGCCAGCAACAAGCTTGATGGGCTTGAGTTATTTCGCCTGTAAATCATTGTCTATATCCACGATGCCAATAATTTCGCCCTCGGAACGTTATTACGAACACCTAATAGTTGAAACAGTGCTTATCGCCTATTATAGGACAATAGATGGAAGATGTAAAAGTGGAAGAAAGGTGCTGTAGCTGTGAGAGGTACAGATTGATTTGTTGTGTATTACATAACCTTTGTAGTTGCTTCCTCAAGGTCTCATCAATTCGCTCGCAGTTGCAATGAACCAAACAATCAATGTAGTTTATGTAGTCGTGTAGTGATAGGTTTCTGTAAGAACAGTTTTGTACACTAATGAACAACGGTAGGAAGCGGACTGCTACACAACTCGTTTGCTCCCTCGATGAGAACGCGAGAGCTTTCCCCGGATCCAGGACTAGTCGGAGAAGCTAACTCAATCTCTTGGGTAAGCCGATTTTGACCTTGCGGAGTCTCAAGATCATAGGTGCTAACCGCAGAATAAAGTGTTGACGGACCCTCTCTGGCACCGAAAGAGTCTCTGAGTGGGAACGAGTCCAATAGACGCAAGCCGTCAGAATCAGACACCGCTGAATTAAGGTCCAGCACCATCCGACATCCAAGGATGATTTCAATGACAGCTGCGAACCCCTCTGGAGCTTCGAACCAGCTAAACTGTTGTTGTTGTTAAAGTCAGTCATGAATCAAAAGCAGTTTGCGGCAGGACCAGACCTACCCCTAGCCCTTGCCAGATTCCCGTATTTACAACGTTCGCAATGAGTATGCTATCGGGTGCGGTCACTACAATGGATTGCAGATATAATTGGCTCTACTCACCAGAGAAAGTAATGGAGGTTGCCATACACGAGAGCATCGACAAGGTCTTTTCTCTCCATGCGGAAGATGTTGAAGCCAAATCTACCGCGTTTGAACCCGATCCTTCCTGCAAGCACGAATAGAAATGTTCCAAAAACAATATCGGGCAACCACACGTAAGCAAGCACAGGCGGCGCGTGCGTGACGGCACAGATTCTAATATTTGGTAACGGCCTATTTGTATCTGGAAAATGTCAAATTTGGAGCAATTGTGCGGATGAGTGGATACTCGCTGGTATTCTCGGCCATGCCTATTCCTAAAAAGATAGACATGACTATAACCTCAATCGTAAATCCGACCGCCATCGCAATCAGGACCGCTAGAGATCGGCGGTATAGAGCGTACACTCGGAGCTGCAGTATGACTGAACAAAGGTCAGCGATTTCATCTAAAGACATGAAACATGTCTCACGTTGAACTGCCCAAAGAATGCAGAAACTGGGCCACCCTTGAATGTTGAGGAATAATGAACCTGAATGGCCTTATAAGACTTGGCATCATAGCTGGAAATTCCTGCTCACAGCTAATGATATTGTTTCAGTGTTAAGGTAGGGTGAACAGCTGATACGATAACGATGTTCGTAATACAACTTACAACTAAAAGGTGTTCAGTTCTCATAAATGGAATAAGAAGAAACATACCTCTTTAGAAGTGTGTTTGCTCATAAATGCTGAAAAGGACGTCATTCTGCGATGATTCGAGACTAAGATAAACGTTGACTACCTGAAGCAGAGAGACTACACAGAATGTCAGCGATTGTATTATTCGTTTTGGACAAGCAAGAACTCACAATATGAGTGCGCCGCCACCAAATCTCACCTAACTGACATTCAAAGGCATTCTACAAGTATGAGCGCAATCTTACAATGATATATAATATGTTGGAAAATTTCATCGGCCGTCTCTACGATAGTATTCTTGAGCAAGTCAAATCCTGCATATGTTTGATGAAGACGGACCCATATAAATTCAACCTGTAAGAAATGAGACAGTCGAACCCACATGATGACGGAGATCGCACCTCTCGATCGAGCGTGAGCACTAGCCGAAATCATCAGTACGGACTGGTCTTGATACACACCCTGAGACGTACAGTAATCATAACAGAAAATGATACAAGGACACACTATGATATACCAAAAAAAGTAAGTCAGAATGTCGACCAAAGCACGTCTAATACTCACATTGGCAGACACGAGTAACCCACACATTGTGAGCGGCAAGCGCAAAAGCTTGCGCATCATAATTTGCGAGATCTGGATTGTATGACATGGTCGATATTTTCTGAAGGGTCCAAGCCTTGTTGAAAAGACCTGACTCAATTCACGGGGAAGAAATGACAAGGGACGTTGGTGGTCCTGGAGAAAGGTTCGAAACGAGTTCGATTGGATACATGAACGCCAGGGCAAATTTAAGCAGGCCATCATGCTTCTCGGAGTCAACAATTAATAGAAAGCAAAGACAGAAGCTCTTGCGTTTTTTCACACGAATGAGACGTAATCAATCCGTTTATCCTTATTAAAAGAAAGGGTCACCCTTAAGTACCCTTCACAACCATCCATATATCCATCGAGATCGTAAGAGTAAACATACCAGCTGGGCAGAATCACACAGGCTGAGTGCTCTCTCTGTTCAGAAACACAAGCGGATCTTATCACTGTAGGTCAAAATTCCAACCATTTTTATCGTAAGATATCTATACCCGAGGTCTTGGTAATGTGTGTACAACTTACTGATAGAGAACCCGGTCAGAAACAGAATGCCGAATGCCCATATAGCATATGCCATAGCCTGCAACAAGAGCCAAGATCAGACCTCAAGCAATCACCCATGCTGCACCGTCAAAATAAACACGAGGTTGTAAATGTACGCACAACAAGAGAGAATGATGTTTAGCGGAGCAAAGACCCGCAACGACGCTCCGACATTCCTCGGGGCGCTGGACAGAGACGAAGGTTGAACCCTCATCACATCATGTGGTGCCGAACACTTATCATGGGAGATTAATGGGCTTTGTTGAAAGTAGACTTGAAACATAACAGGAATAACTTTGCGAACCACAACAATTTAATGTCACAAGACAAAATCCACGATCTACTCGGAGATGAGGCCATCGGCAAAACAGTTCGGTTGGAAGTCACGTCCATGATCGTGATCCCCGCACGAGGCTAACACGAGGTAATAAAACTGTATAGTTCTCGGCATTTGCCGGAGGGCTGGCAAACCTTATTCTTATGTGGTGGCACAACAGGAGCAAACAGCCGCTCATCGTCGCGCAAAAGGTCCAAGGCCACCTTACATCAAGATCCCTCAAGTACCTCAAAATGGCCACCACCCTTCCCAAGGACGTTTCAAAAATCGGTCAGGAAATTAAATTGTTTGGAAAGTGGGACACCCAGGAGTATGTTTGGATTTGTCGATGCATAGTCTTTATATTGACGTGATTTCGGTCCAGTGTCGAAGTAAAGGACATTTCCCTCACGGACTACATCCAAGTCCGCCATGCTGTCTACTTGCCCCACACTGCTGGTCGTTATGCCAAGAAGCAGTTCAAGAAGGCACAAATGCCTATCGTCGAGCGATTGGTTGACAGGTGCGCCAAAGATCCTTCCACGAAGATGTAGACGCTGAAAGTTTGGCCATAGCTTGATGATGAAGGGCCGCAACAACGGCAAGAAGCTTATGGCTGTCCGCATTGTTGCACATGCATTCGAGATCATCCACCTCCTCACCGACCAGAACCCCATCCAGGTCTGTCGGGCGAAAGTTACTCCACAACACAAGTGTTAATCCATACATAGGTTCTCGTTGACGCCATTGTCAACACCGGCCCTCGGGAAGACTCCACCCGTATTGGTTCTCAGGGTACCGTCCGCCGTCAAGCCGTCGATGTCTCACCCCTGCGGAGAGTCAACCAAGCTATCTCCCTCCTAACTATCGGCGTAAGCATACCCTGACCTTCATAATTATTTTCACATAATTAATTTGGTATCAGACGCGGGAGTCTGCCTTCCGCAACGTAAAATCCATTGCCGAGTGTCTTGCTGATGAGCTTATCAACGCTGCCAAGGGTTCCTCGAACTCTTACGCCATTAAGGTAAATCAATGTCTTTGACAATAATCATCATGACCTCATCACCGCTGTCAACAGAAAAAGGATGAGCTTGAGCGTGTTGCCAAGTCTAACCGGTGAAAACCGCTGCTCGCGTACTTGGGGGACTTGTGCATTCCGAGTGCGACTGTTGTGGGCTTTCTGGATATTCATTTTTTCTGCTTCATTATCAACGCCGCGCTCATGCTGCACTCATGTTTCTCTATGTGTATGTTAACCACGCTGACATTATGCATGCACATGATCCCGCATCAACCACATGCCACATAAAACAAGTGGCTATGTTCTAGGAACGTTCCCACAACGACAGAGAAAGTTAACGTTTGAACACTGCCTTACATTTGGACTTGTCACCGCTGGTGGAGCTTATTTATCTCACATGGATCGGACCTGGGCCTGAGGCCTGATCACGGAGCTATTCTGCGCGCGTTCCAACCAAAATCCAGGAAATTGAATTAGGTGTACAAAGAAGCAGAGTAATTCTCAACCCCAGGGATCGAATGAGATATACACCCCATGCAATCTGATGGGGCGCGGGGTCCAAGCCATCTCAGCCTCTCGAGCGTCCTGTCTTCGACGGCACTCGTATAATAAGTAGAAGTACATATGTACGTTTTATCTTCTTCAACAAACAGGAAAAGAGGTCCGCGTTGAGAGGACGAGAGCCGTATAGATCGGAATAAATACAAGGAATGAGAGGCCAGTGCTAGATGCGATGGGGTGATGGCGGTGACGATGCAATTAGCACATCCTCTCAACCCAATGAACAAGAGTCGGCAGACCAGCAGGGCAGTGACGGTACGGAAACGGACGGATCTCGGCAGGCCACGGCCAGGCCAGGGCTGATATCGATGACAAGTGATATGAGTAATAATACAAGTTTGATCTAAAGTTGGGAGCGCTAAATGCACTGGTCTGCAGCAGGATGCTACGAAAGGTTGGACGAGGTCGCTAGAGCGCAGGCTACGTCTGTTGAGGAAGGCTGGCGCGATAGGGCGAGAGATCCGGAAGGCTTGAAAACCTTCGCCGTAATGAAATCCGAGAAAATGAATCCAAAATTTTCCGTGGATTGCAAGTAAAATCATGACTTCAGATGATAATGCCGACAAGAAATGGAAACCGTATGAAATGGTGTGGCCTCTTATGGCCTGCTACCGGAGTACAGATGCGTGCCGGGATGAGTCGCCTGTTATCGGTCCAGGAGCGGGCTTGGGGACGACGCCGGCAAGTCCGAGATAGCCAATGTCTCGGCCGAATTCCTTGATCATGGCTTTACCCATCAGGCAAACCCAGCCGAGGCCCTCTCCAGTTACACACTGGCCAGGCCAGAACAGTTCCCCTTCCTCATCCTCGATGTCAGGTTCGTGTTCCTCGTGCGCAGTCAGACTCGAACTCATCATCCGGGCAAATGTCGTGGGATAATGCCGTGCCAGTATGGGCAGGGTCAGAGTGCGTTGAGCATACTCCATACAGTACCCTGCGGCCATAACGCCACCGGATAGCTCCTTGACGTTAAACGCAAGCGCGGGATTGATGGGCGCTGTTGCCTTGGCGGCTGCTTCGACCATATTGTAGCTCGCAGTCTGTCCCTTGGCTGTCTGAGGCAAAAGACCATGCATATACTGTGGGAGTGCGGTAGAAATCGGAGGTGCTGAACGCGAGGGAGCGGGCGAGTTCACCAGATTGATGCCGCTCGAGGTGTTCACACTCGGAGTGCCGCTCGCACTGTTGTTTATGGGTGTAGAATTTGCACTATTGACAGGAGCTATGCTTGCGGGGGAAGGAAGCATTGGTGGTGTAGGCTGTCCGTCCGCTTTCTCCGCATTGCTGCTGAGGATCATCATCTCAGACTTCATTTTCGCCCATATGCGGTCCATTTCAGGTTCTATGACGGTCTTTGCTGAAAAAAAGAACTTTCGCCCATGGATGAATCCTTCAATCATCCAGCTGTGTGCGTTAAATGCGTAAGCAGAACGGAAAATCGTAGCAAGGGGGTGCTTACATCAAGCCCAAGAGGGCTTTTTCACGATCGCCAATCGTATCAAGCTCAGCGATCCATTTATTTTTACACCACCCAAGGAATGCCTCGATAGTGGCCCAAGTCTCACGGAAGCACGATTTCCTGCTGAAATCCTTGCTCCACAATGAGTAAGTGAAGCATACAAGTGCGTCCACAAGCTCGAGCCGCGCTATGAGCCCTCCATGTTTATGATAAGGAGAGTTTGGAGGCGGGGGGTTAGCCAGTGGACGGTACTCCTTGTGTGTGGCAGGATATGTGGACCAGAATCGAGCATCGCCAGAATACTTGAGCATTCTACCATACTTGTGATATATATCGTGCATTTCATCGAAGGAGGTGAGTGCTGGACGTCCGCGCCGCGGACGCCGCACAGGCACAGTGGTTGATAGAACTGCAGGCGCCGGACCCCGGGGCGTCACGGCAGTGGTATCTTCTCGTACTTCGCCATCCTCTGATGGTTCAGAACGCAAGTTGAATGAAGGAACTGCATTTGAAGACCTGAGCGGTTGCGAAGGAGGAGGTGGTGGTGGGTGGTAGTGATGATGGTGATGTGATGAGGGCTTCTCTGGTAGCCCGTTTGTTCTGGAACGTTTGACGACGTCATGTTCCTGTGATGATTCATGCTTTCTCTTAATGGGTGGTGCACTAGGGGAGTTTGACCGGGATGCGGGGGGTGACGGAGGGAGGTCTGGTGGCAGCGGTGCTGCGAGAGGACCCAAGATCTACAATGGGACGAAGAAAGAGTTTAATTATCTTGAATAAATTAGTAAATTGAGAAGTTGAATGACCTCAAGATTCTTTAAGAGTTGCTCTCTCGACCATCTACTGAAGAGATAGGATGAGG